TCACTTTACCCTGGAGTGCAGCACCACCAGGGAGTTCTCTCACAATGAGCTCACATTAAAAGGTATTTTTACACAGTATTTTTCTGTCTCAGAAATTATTAAAGTTGCTATGTACTGTGGTAATTATTTTAAGAAACTCTGTGAGCATAACTATTATCCGGTTCTCCTATAGAGGATAAATAAAGACTTGATCCAAGTTTTTAAATATTAATATGCATTATGTTTTTTTTAGCAAAATTATAAATAAAAGACAGTAGTAATATGAAACTTTGCAGGTTAATATTACAAGATGCCCTGATGTCTTCATTCACTATTTATGAAGTTGCGTATTACTAGTGTATCTGGTGTCCCTTTATTACTCAGTGAGTTTCTTTTATTCCTTGCAGTTCTATACCTTGTTACATTTCTGTAACTCTTGCATTTTGAATTCCCATAGTTAATTTCTAAAAATTTAAACGAAACTTATACATATTTTAAAAAATACTATTTATAAAGGAAAACTTACAACTTTATGTAGAAATCTTTTCTACTGAAAAAAAAAAAAGGTTCTTGACAATCAATGTGGTACCAAATCTTACATTGTGTGTGTGTGTGTTTGTGTGTGTAGTTTTCAAAGTGATTAATTGTAAATGATTAGCAAGAAGTCTGTTGTTGTTAGGTGCTGTCAAGTTGATTCCGACTCATAGCAGTCCTGTGTAAAACAGAACAAACACTACTCCTGGTCCTGCGTCAGCCTCACAGTCATTGCCAGACTTGAGCCCATTGTCGCAGCCACTGTGTCAGTCCATCTCATGAGGGTCTTCCCCTTTTTTACTGACCCTTTATTTTACCGAACATGATACCATTCACCAGGGACTGGTCCCTTCTGACAACGTGACCAAAGTATGTGAGATGAAGTCTGGCCATTCTTGCTTCTAAGGAGCATTCTGGCTGTACTTCCTCCAGGACAGATTTGTTCATTGTTCTAGCAGTCCATGGTATTTTTAGTATTCTTTGTCAACACCACAACTCAAATGTATCAGTTCTTCTTCAGTCTTTATTCATTGTCCAGCTGTCACATGCAGATGAGGCTATTGAAAATACCATGGTTTGAAAATATAATGGTTTAGGCCAGCTGCACCTTAGTCTTCAAAGTGACATCTTTGCTCTTCAACACTTTAATAAAGAGGCCTTTTGCAGTAGACTAAGCCAATGTAATATGGCTAAGATTTCTTAGATATGACACGAATAACACAATCTATTTTTTTAAAAAACAAATCGATAAATTTCAGCAAAGTTTTAAAATTCTGTTCTTCAAAAAGTACTGTTAAGATACATGCACACTACATTCATCACAGTACCATTCACAACAGCACAAAGATGGAAACAACCTTTGACATGCACAACAAAGAAGGAATGTATCAACAAAACATGATACACACACAAAATGGAATACTATGCAATGTTGAAGAACAATGATGACTCTAGAGAACCTCTCATAGCATGGATGAACCTAGAGGACATTCTGCTAAGTGAAATTAATCAATCACAAAAGGACAAATATTGTATAAGACCACTATTGCGAAAAGTCAAGAAAAGATTTTCACACAAAGAAATAGTCTTTGATGGTTACTAGGGGTGTGAGGAAAGGGGGCAAACCACTAACTAGAGGGTAACACGTATTAGCTTGGGTGAAGGGGGAGGTAAAATAAAAGAACAAAATTTAAGCAGGCATTTCACCAAAGAAACGCTTAAAAACAAAAACAAACGATGATGACAAGCAAAACTCCTGGCCTTCATGTAACTTACATTCTAACAGGACAGACGATAAAATACATGTACTTTTTTTTAAAGTAAATAATATAAGCTGAAGTTTTAAATGAAGTGGCTGTAGTTTTCTTCATTGAGAGGTTAGCATCTGACTGAAGACTAAAAGGTGGGAGCATTGATACTAATTGATCAGTGTCCATTCCAATTGATTGATGCCTATGCCATAACAATTGGAAAAACTGTTAAGTATTATGCCTATAAATTGGGTTAGTTGGAGGGTTCATTAAAATATGAGTATCCTGTAAACTCCATGTACACTGAATTGTTGTAAGAGGAGAAGCCTCTTATAAAAGCTGGTCTTGCCTTTCTGAAATTCCCCATGCTGCTACCACCTTCCAGAGTGTAGCTGTGGAGGAGAAAGACTGCAACCAAAAAGATCTGCAAGATCCTGTTGTTTTTATCAACATAAACCTGAGAAATATGAGTAGCAGTGGATTCTGAGGCTGATAGACAAGGGAAGAACATAATTTTTTTAAATTGGATTTATTGAAATGGGCACACCTGAAAAAATGAGCAAACCATCTAAGTAGACATTTCTATAGAGAACATGTACAGATAACCAATATACACCTGAAAATATGCTCAACATTCATCAGTCATTAGAGAAATCAAACCAAAAGCATAATGAGATACCACTTCACACCCACTGGAGCAACTATAACAATAATAATAATAAAGACAGGCAATGACAGGTGTTGGAGAGCACGTGTAGAAATTGCAGCCTCATAAACTTCTGGTGGTATTATACCCATTTGCAGCTGCTTTTAAAAACAGTTTGGCAGTTCCTTCCTCAAAATATTAAACACAGAGTTAATATATGACCCAGCAAATCTTCTGGGTATATACTTGAGAAATGAAAGCATATATTGACACTAAAACTTGTACATGAATGTTCATAGCAACATTATTCATAATAGTGAAAAAGTGGAAGAAAACCAAAACCAAATGGCCATCACTGATGAATGAATAAACAAAATGTGATGTATCCATACCATACAATATTATTCAGCCTTAAAAAGGAATAAAGTCTCGCTCCATCCTACAGTATGGATGCCCCTTGGAAACATCATGCTAAGCCACTCCTCGGAAGGAAGGTTGGGCAAGCTACTTCCGTAGTGATACTGCCTCAGAAACCCAAGGAGGGGTTGCTATGAGTCGGGTCTGACTCCACAGCACATAGCAACAACAACAACAACAAGTGAAAAGGCCAGTCATAAAAGACTATATGGTATGAATGCATCCCTATGGAATGTCCAGAACAAGCAAACCGGGTGGTGCAGTCATAAAAGACTATATGGTATGA